TACAGTTGACCATAACACTTTTTCTCAGTTATAACCATCTATGAAAATCTCCTCTACAACAATAGCAGCTCTTACAGTAACAACTCAATGTTAACTTTCTGTAATTTGGTATTCAGGTTGGTGGGGGTTTTCAAGTACATTTAAGCAAAGTAATTAAAAACAACCCAGGAAAGAATGAACTGTAGATGAACTACAACCTAAAAATCCTCATAGATCACTCAATAACAAGAGTCAAGCAGCTCTCCATAAAAAGCAAATACTCTGTAAACACAACTTATTTTGTAAACATCCTCTTAATTATTACTGCTCAACTTCAATATTGGACTATTTCTGTCAACAGACATTTCTACAGTAATCTTACTAACAAAAACCCTTCCTCCAGTTTTTCTTCAGTAATTTAAGTAAATCAATGGAGTAGATAAAGAGTTAAACTCCTTTTATTTCTGGACTGGGACAATGACTAATAGAACCAGAACTATTTTTAAATATGGATTTCAAAACAGTTATGGTCTTGCCTTTCTTTGGACAAAATCTGTGCACAGAGCAATGATTTGTGTTATTAATGAACACAGGGACTTTTCTTTGCCTCTGCAAAGACCACCACTGGGTCATTTAAACATTTCCTTTTCAGAAATAATGCCATGGGAAATTCGTACATCGGTTACAGGAGCGATTTCTAAATATAATTTAGAGTCTTTTTAAAACTTCAAAACTTCATGTATTAACTCCTTCAGTATCATAACTGATAAGACAGCAAAGTCCACATTGCTGGACTGGTTTGCAGCTGCCATGCAATTCAGAGTTATTTGTTTTTGGGTCTCTTTACGCACTCTTCCCACGCTAACAACTCAACTTCTGTTCTCACTGAAAGGCATTTTCTTCTCATAACTCATGTTTAGAATTGTCACATCACAGAAGTATGGGAATTTTCCACATAAAATATTAATGGTTTTAATAATCTTAAATTATACTGTGACATCACCTGTATTTAATGATTTATAAATTATAACTAATAGCATAAAAGGTGCCTGTGCTCCATGTGTAGTTTGGCAATATGAGTTTGGGTATAGATGACCACGTTAGTGAGGATAAGTGTCTCCCAAACAACCAGTGCAGTGATCTTTGGACAGTTACACACCTCAGGAAAGCACCTTAGAGCATCTCTCCATGTGAAGTGCACTCTCCATATTCAGTCACTTCACCTTGGCGTGGCACATGTTCCAGGGAGAAGGTGCTCAAAAGCTTTTTGTGCTCAAGGATAAGAAGGATTGACATAGAGAAGGTACAATGGAGCTTGAATCCACCACAGTCTTTGTCAAACTCATTCTCAATGTTCTGGTCTCTTAAAACAAGAATGGACAAAGCCAGGCTTTGTCCAAGTGACAACCAGCTGCTCAGGGGATTATTTAACAGAACACTTAAGCCTAACAGCTTGAATATGTCAGGAACGGCTCTCCCATTGCTCCTCCTTCGTCTCTCTCCATTTAATGTTCCAGCCCTCTCAACCAGGCTGTTCCACCCATACTTTTGTGCTGGTTCTGGTACTCCAAACTGACTCAGTTTCTTCACTTGAAAAAACATATGATGGGGTTTTTTGTTGTTCACATTAGTTCTGTGCTGGTGTAGTGAGTTCAGCCAGCTCAGTGAACAGCCTGAAAGGCAGAGCTGGTACCAGAGAGCTGGCAGAGAGCACCTGGGAGCACAGCCAGGCTCAAGTGGCAGCGGGGGACCATTACACAGCTGTACCTATACCTTCTGAAAGGGTATTTAATAAAATCTTCATGACAATATTTTCAGAAAAATCACTAGGATCTCAGGCTTTCTTTTAATTATCTTATTCTTGAAGTTTAAGCATGTAGAAAGTTTGAATAAGTTCTTTGAGAAGCACTGCAGAGTCAGAGCATTTTTACAGAGTCATATCAGCATCTATTTACTGGGAAACTCAAAACCTCAGGCAGGAAATAACTATCCCCACACCTTCATAAAATTCAGTTTTTAGGATCCATTCCTTGGCATATCTTTGGCCTATGCAAACCTACAGTCAAGCTTGATGATCATTCCTAACTACAAAGCCAATAATGATTTCTTAAGGGCAAGATGAAAAGATGAAGCAAGGACTTTTTTCTTTAAAATGAAAAATATCACAGCTCGGGTTTCCTGACATAAAGGGACTAGTTTTCAGGAGATTTAACGCATAGAACCAATATATGTCCCCAGTGACACATTTCAACACTACTTTTCTAGGACTTTGTGAGCAACACATGTTTTTCAAGAGTTCAAATTGGCCACTACTCCAATTGCAGCCTCAATCTTTTAATGCTTTGAAATCATAATTTTTGGCTATTTGAAAGGAAATATGCAATCCATTTGCTACAGATGCAAGTGTGGGAGCAGATTTTTAGGTTGTTTCATAAGAGAACTTCCTCACACCAGATCCAAAAGAACATTTTAGGAACATGCATGCAAGTTTATGTTTTAGATCCAGTAAAACTACACAGCCAGTGCCTCTCACAAATTGAAGTCAGCAGGGACTTGGAAAGTCCATGTCCCGAGACATCATCACACTTGATATCCTGTGTATGGAAATGGTGTCTCATCACTGATAGACGACAGGGCATTTTGGCACTTAGGACCTAAACTGCCAGGCAAGAACAGAGAGCCTGAGAGCTCGTGTGTGGCAGCCCAGCCATTAAACCACTGGTCCAAGAACAGGGAGAACTTGGAAGTCTGAAAGGCTTCCAACTCCTCATCTCCTAACTGATGGTACGACTAAAGAAGTGAAGATTTTAGCTTCTTCCTGAAGCTGAAATACAAGGCTGAAAAGGCCAAATATTCCAAAGGTGCACAGCCAGAGATGACAACAATTCTCTCAAACAAAACAAACAGAGGTTCCACACATTCTTCCCAGCACTGTTTATATTCAAAGAGTCTTTCAAGGACAGAAATTGTAAGGGATTGCAAAAACATCCACAAGATTCTTTCTAGGAGCATTGCAAGAGAACACTATTACGAACACAACGGAAAATATATGGGAAAAATACATGTAAAGATTGTTTCAAGAGAAAGAATCTTTTACCATCAGTAAAGGTACATGGCCTACCTGAATGGGCATGCAACTGAAATATTATGGGAAATAGTAAATTTAGCTGTATGTTGTTTAACTACAAGATACAAAGTACTTTGTGATTCTGATTTCAGGCATGTATTTGGGGGAAAGAAGTCACTGCATTCTTTTTATGTTATCTGAACACTGTTAGCTTTCTTCTTTTTAAACTCCCTGAAACAGACACAGGAGCAGCAAGGTATGCAGGATATTTGCTGTTATGAACCCCCTAAAATAAACATCAAAATGACTACATCAAAATGACTCTGCAGAGAAAAAAGTGGTATTAAAAAAACCCTCATTTTGGATAAGCCAAGTCAAACCTTGGTACAAAGCAGAACACTCCTTTTCCTGCAGTGGAGGACCAATGACAAAATGCCTACATAAAGGCATTTTTCATCTCCAAACAGACCAGCAAGGACTTAATTACGTGATCAAACAAGAATTGACACCCTTTTAGTATTTCCTTAAAGAGGCTTATAATAGTCTAAATAGAAACATTTTTATAAACAGGACATGCACAATAAAATTTCCTGTAGCCCCTCTTGGTTTATGGAGTACATTTTTCATTTCCAAATGACTTCTGGAATTGGCTTTTGAAGGGAAACAACATCAAGCTGAGGGATGAATCTACAACATTTTCTCAGAGTTTGTTGCATCTGTGGCAATTCTTACTATCTCCACTCTCCTCTGCACCTAGGAGCAAGGAACAAAAAACCCAACAAACAGAAAAGCCCCAATCTATGTTGAAAAATTCACACACAAAACTATCAGACAGCTTTTCTTTTGGATGTAAATTAAGTCACTGATTTCCACTGACATGGATTTCTAACAGGCAAGTCCTTCTCAGAGAAAAGAGCTCCCTCAAACAGAAGTCAAGAGAGAATTGGGTTTGTTCAGCCTGGGAAAGAGAAGTTTTGGGGTGACTGATTTGTGACCTTCCAGTACCTGAAGGAGACAACAAGAAAGACAGAGAGAGACTTTTTACAAGAGCCTGGAGTGACAGGACAAGGGGAATGGCTTCACACTGGCAGGGAATAGGTTTAGGCTATTGGGAAGAAAAGAGTGAGGGTGGGCAGGCCCTGGCACAGGGTGCCCAGAGAAGCTGTGAGTGCCCCTGGATTCCTGGCAGTGTCCAAGGCCAGGCTGGATGGGGCTTGCAGCAGCCTGGGATAGTGGCAGGTGTCCCTGCCATGGCAGGGGTGGAATGAGATGATCTTTAAGGTCTCTTCCAAACTAAAATGTTCTGGGATTCTACAGCTCTGTGAGATGTGTTTGCAGGCAGAGGTGAACTTCTATCAATGGCAATAACAAACAAATGACTGGAACGTGGGAAAGGCTCAGGACTGAAAACTTCAGATTAGACTAGGAAGAGTTTAATTAAACTGTTTAGGGAGTTTAATACCGAGTGTTTAGGAAGTATCCCGCTGAGTGCATTTTATGCACTGCTAATCAAGTACTTCCCAATTTTATACGCAATGCACATATGCCAATGTATCCCAGTAAAAGTATTTTTTCACTGAGAACAAATAAAATAAAATATATTCCAAGTTCTGGTAAAGTTTACTACAAAAATTCCACTTCAAAACATGAAGCAAATGATATTGCTTGTAAACTAAATTAAAATGCTTTCATATTACATTAATGCCTAAGGAATTTAAGTTAATACTATGTGTAATTTTATAGTATTAATTTATATTTAAAAGATTATTTTTATATCCTTCATATACTAATCAAACCTCAATATTCACAACAGGCTCTTTTTCAGGACTAGATGGTGCGGCAGTGAGTGAAGTAAACAGTTCAATAGCTTCATTTGCTGTTCCTTATTCACTGATTCTGGTGTTTATTTTTTTGTTTGTTTGTTCACTTTCCAAGGTTGGTTATCCTGACTAAGAAGACATGAAAGAATACACACTCCTTCTCTTCTTGGCTTTGTGCTCTGCCAAATCTCTCACTGGTCCTTCATATTTTACACTGAAGAATATGATGCTCCAGGATATGGAAGACGATGACGATGATGATGATGACAATTCTCTATTTCCAACCACTGAACCCATTCTACCACTAATTCCTTTTGATCTGTTCCCAACATGCCCCTTTGGATGCCAGTGCTATGTGAGAGTTGTCCATTGCTCTGACCTAGGTAAGAATGAATTTATGTGTTTGTTCTCCACTGGATTCTCCTTTGTAGGATTTTTCTTTTATATTATTATGCAGGCACATAAATGAGATGCAAAGTATTCCCTCAGCTTAGCTTCCAGCAAAGGGAGCACCCCTGGTAACCGTTTAGCCAAAGGCAAATATGCTCCTGTCAGTGCTGCAGGTACATCCCAGTCCCTAAAAGTGAATTCATTATTAATTGTGCCACTTTCAATTAGTGCTCACTGAAGTTTTCCTATCATTCAAGGCAACCAAAGGACTGTTCTCCCACCACTAGCACAGTCATAATGACATTTGCTTTCATCACAGCTCTGCCACCTTCCTGAACTTCATCCTGGACTCCTTGTGTCTTAGAAACATTGTCCATACATAAATTGCTGGGGTTTTAAAAATGTGTTGTTATTATTAAGGAGTCAAAAACTTTTGCTGACAACAGCAAATTGTGGTTAATGTATTTGGTCTACAGATTTCAAACCACTTTACAGGAGTTCACACATAGAAAAATCCCACATTAATAGACTTCAGCTTTAGATAACTGCAAACTATTAATTATAGTATAATTGTTAATAAATTGGACAGCATTTAGCATTTAATGCATCAGCATTTCCATTCAAAAGAAAGTTACTGTCCCTGTTGAGTCTTTTCTGCTGATTCAGGATCTCAGATGGCCTGAACTGCAGTGGGTTTGTGACTGAACAGCAAACTGGGTTGGGAGAATAATGCTACTGGTACTGATTTACGTTAATGACTTCTGGTACTGATTTCTGTTAATGATCTATGGTACTTGTAATGAGTTATGTTAATGACTTCTGGTACTGGTACTGATTTGTGTTAATGCCACAGGTGCCAAGAGTCCACAGTGAGCAGCCCCCATTAAGCTTTCATGGTCGGTGCAGAACCAATTCCCCCCAAAACTAATGCACATGTTGTGATACATTCTTATATCATTGGTTTTTCCCACTATCAAAAATTCCCTTCTATCCTTTGCTTTATGGCTGTTCATATTTTCTTCCACACCATATTCATTAACAATCTTACTGTGTTTTGATGTTTGGCAGTTAATTTCTTTAGACTTATATACAGCACATAATGTTTCTGCTTATGTCACATACTTATGTAGGTTTGACATCAATTCCTCGCAACATCCCGCCAGATACTCGTATGATTGATCTTCAAAACAACAAAATCAAAGAGGTCAAGGAAAATGATCTCCAAGGACTCACATCACTTTATGTAAGCTTGCTATTTCCCAAGTTTCCCAGTTAGTTAGCAATCTGAAATATTTAGATGCTTTAAAAATAAAAATAGTATGTCCTTCTCCAATAATATAGATAAAAATAGTCTAATGCCTGCATGTTTGAGTGCTTCCACATAGTAAGAAGCAAATACCTTTAAGCTCTAAGAACTACTTTCTACAATACCCAGAAAATGTACCATATAGATCTAACAAAAAAAGATTTTTCAGTTCTTAGTGTGCACAGAAACATTCCCTACATTTTAAAGGCTGCAAGGCCTCCTTTTTATCTGCTTAGTTGGAAAATAGCAGAAAGAATTTAACCTCACAAACTTCAATCACCTTTTCTGAGGGTATTTTCGAAAGAACAGAACATACAGCTAACACATACAGCACTGAAACCAATGCTACAAATCCAGCTGACCTGAACAGAAAACAGAGAAACACTGAATTACTGGAAAAGCTAGGGGCTTTACTCCTAATTTGTTACCATGCTCAATTATGCACGTAGTGACAGGCTTTGAAACAAATATCACTGGCAACTGATAAATCTAGATGTTTACAGTATGCAATAATCCCTTTTATGATGAAAGGAAATGAGAGTCCCAGAGGGCTGGGAAGTAGATTAATTCTGCTTTAGAATATTTGTTTCTATTGGATGTCACTGTAGATCCAGAATGCAGATCTAGTTCCACTAACAAATACTGAGCATTTAAAAATTCTCTATAAAACACAAATCTGTTCCATAACTGATAGCAAATTAACTACATTCTATTCTCCATCAGAAAGACACAAGACACACAAACTAACATAAGGACCATTCGTAACACGTTAGGAAGAAATTCACCCCTGTGAGGGAGGTGAGGCCCTGGCACAGGGTGCCCAGAGCACCTGTGGCTGCCCCTGGATCCCTGGAAGTGTCCAAGGCCAGGCTGGGTGGGGCTTGGAGCAGCCTGGGATGGTGGCAGGTGTCCCTGCCCATGGCAGGTGGTGGCACTGAATGGTATTTAAGGTCCCTGCCAACCCAAAATAATTCACGATTCTATAAAACAAATCCTTTCAGCCATTTTTGGCTTCTTAGTAAGATCTGAAAATTTACCAGATCTAAGTGTTTATGAATGAGCTTGTTAATTATTATGGCCTAGGACAGGACAGAAAAAACAGGAACTATATAAATTCAGAGTTGGCAATGAAGCATTTCCTATTCTCTTGTCTCTGTGCAGAATGGTCTTAGCAGCAAGCCAAAGGTAACTGCACAAATTGTGGTTTACATTCTGTGTAAAAGATCTAAGAGTCTCTTATCTCCAACGACTGAGAAAGCCACTGGAATCCATCAGCAATCACATTAAAAACCAGAGTCACCACTTAATTATGTGATAGCTGAGCACACTCAGCTGCTTTGCTTTTTCTCCTCGGTTCATTTGTGGCAAGGCTGAACAACATTTTCACTGAGAGCAAAGTTTACTTTGTACAACTTGGCTCAGTCCTGGAGTCTGCTTAGCAAAGGCACAGATGGCAACTTGGATTAGGAAGGAGCATTTCCTGTTTATTTCCTTGAGCTAACCTAATTTTATTTTTGGGAAAAAATAATTCTTGCTTGTTCTACTTTTTTCCCCCGCACAATTCCTAAGAAGAGATGACTCCAAGAAATAAAAAAGGAACAGAAATGAATAGCTTAAGTATGGAAATGCAGAGATGTGATTTGACATGCAAAATCATTTCAGATAGTGTGTATTTTGCTGTCTGTAGTAACTCATTACAAGCTCTCTGATAACACATAGCAATGAGGAAGAAGCTGCCTCCAAAAGACTGATGTACTGTACAGAAGAGAGAAACTGAAGTTCACAGGAGCTGGAAATGCCACATAAAACAAATTAACGTGTCACATACAGATACTAACATCTAAGAAACTCTGATTAAAAGCTTCACTTTTATTTTGCAGCATTATGTTAAAATAAAAGATGAGATTCTGAGTTTTGAGAATTTGTCTGCATTAAAGAACAATAGCAATGAAGTATACAACCCCCATACAATCCATAAAATGTCTGAATACAAACATATTGTTTTGCCAATTCTCATGATCCATTGGCACCTTGTTAGCTCTGCCTTCTGGTTAATGCTCCAGCTTTCAGGTTCTTCCTTGTTTTCCATCATCAACTGAAATGCCCAAAGCACCTACAAAGTGCTGAAGTTTGGCAAGATGGAAAAATAAAATATTTTAAATACTTAATTGCTGAATTACATATCAAATCCATGACTTCAAATTCATAGTCATAGCAGACCTGGATAAAGAAAGCTTTCTAATTGCTCTTTCCATCTCTCATAGGCCCTGGCTTTGAACAACAATAAAATATACAAGATCCATCCCAAAGCCTTTCAACCAACTAAGCGGCTACGACGACTGTATTTGTCCCACAATCAACTGACAGAGATTCCAACAAATCTACCCAGAACTCTGACAGAGCTCAGAATTCATGCTAATAAGGTTAAGAAAATCCCCAAGGATGTATTTAAAGGAATGAAGTCTCTACATGTTTTAGGTAAGCCTGATTAAGTAGAACAGAAAATTTCTTTACCAAAGATGGAACATATTATACATCATTTCCATTCAAACATTTTCCCAAGGCACAGTTTCCTCTTAAAGAGATATCCATGCTGTGGGAATACCTTTCACAATTTAGTTTCTATGTGAAGTTGCTGCAAAGGTCAAGTTTGGGATAATCCTGCAAGCCAAGGAACACAGCCTTAATTCCCTGAGAGTTGTGACACCCCTCAGAACAGGCAATCAAAGCTAAACATGTGTGTTTGGAATATCAGAATTCATAAATAAATTTAAATCAGCTCTTCATAACTTAGTCTAACCTACACAAAATTCCTATGCCATTAATGCTTTTCTTTTTCCCCCTCGGGCAGAAATGAGTGCAAATCCTCTGAACAATGATGGAATAGAGCCAGGGGCTTTCGAAGGGGTAAATATCTACCACATACGAATCGCAGAGGCCAAGTTAACTTCAATTCCTAAAGGTAGGTCTGCTTTCCCTTTTCTAATTTACTTATACCAGCACACTCCTTAACAAAATGCTTTAACATCTGAAAGATTATTAAATTCATAAATTGTTTTTTATTCTCATTAGTACCAGACCACCTTTTACCTTTTCTTTTTGAACTTTATATCCAATTGCCCATCCCAGAAGAGTTCATGCACAAACAGCACAAACAGTGCACACCCTCTCCCACCTTCTATGCCAGCACATCCACTCCTCTCACAGAATGTCCAGACACTTGTATCAGGAACAACAATACAAAGAAATTCCTAATTTGATGTCACTTCACATTTTTCACATGTCAGCCTCTCAAAAATCCTCACAGAGAAAGGACAAACTCCCCAATATTTGATCAGGGATATAAGGGATGCAAAATTCCCACTTCCTTTAGGGATTTAAAATGTGACTCCAAAAAGTCTAAATTTCATTTTTAATATTTCACATCACACTGCACCTCAAATACAATGTTCAATATAGTTTTCCTAAATAAAACTTAATTTTAATATTTAATTAAATTCACCAGAACGCAATACAAAACCAAATAACTTTTTCATGGTAAAAATCCCCAACCTTGTAATTTGGGAGTAAAAATAAATTAAAACACTAATTTGACAAATCACTGACCTCCACACACACAAATGTAGCATAAAAAGAGTTCAGTACTCCACCTCCTTTTTCTGTAGGTCAGCGTGATATTGAACCAAACTCTCATGATTTCCAACCACTCAAAACTACCAGCTAAGAGAAAAAGGAAGGAAACAAAGCAAAACCCTGTGTTCTATGCTCTAACTCACAGGGAAACAATGTTGGCCCCTGTATTTATTTCTGATCAGTCAGATAAAGAACTAGTTTCTTATTAATCTCTTCCTGTATGGACATATATCTATGTGTACATATACAGAAGAGAAGAAGAGAACACCAAAAAACCCCTCAACAATAATCAAAACCAACTCACTCCAACTGTTTAGGTAACTTTAGAATCAGAAAGCCTCTGTCTGTGTAGTCAGATAAAGAACTAGTTTCTTATTAATCTCTTCCTGTATGGACATATATATATGTGTGTACATATAGATATACAGAAGAGAAGAAGAAGAGAACACTGAAAAAACCCTCAACAATAATCAAAATCAGTTCACCCCAACTGTTTAGGTAATTTTAAAATCAGAAAGCCTCTGTGTAACAAAAAAAAAAAAAATCCAATCCAAAACAATCCAGTATCAGCTCCTGCCACTTAGCACAAAAAAAAATCCCAACATAAAATGATTCCAATTTTGTCTTTGTTATAGAGAAATCTCCTATAAAGACACACAGCATGAGGTCCAAAATGTGTCAGATACATAAACAAACCAAACCAAACAGGCTTTGATGGTGAACTCCTTCACCACAAATCAAACTGAATTTGTAGATGCTTCTCTCTGCAAATGCTGCAGTGGCACAAAGCTTTAAAAAAACGAAGCTTATAAAAGGTACTAAAAATGTGCAGGGGACAGGTGGGTGGCCTTCTCTCTGGATATTGTCAGTCAGGCACCTGGAACTGCGAGCTGGAACACCAACTGGAACAGAGCCCAAACAAACAAACTTGCCTGTGAGTGGAATAAAGGCAGGCTGGGAAGCAGCCACATCCCTGCAGAGCTGGAGCAGCGCTCTGCCAGCCCCAGAGGGCAGCGGGAGCCGCTCCGTGCGGAGCATCCACACAGAGGTTGGGAACTGAGCCAGCACCAGCACACAGCTCCAGGCTGGGATGAGCTTCCCTAGCCCTAAGAGGATGCTGTGGAAAGATTCGCCACCTCCTGGTCCATTCACCAGTCTGGATTTGGAATTTTTGGAGATGCAAGAGCAAATATTCTAGCATGGGAAAGAGCTATCAAATACCACAATTGTGCTTAGAGTACTTCAAAACCTTTCCTTCCAGTCACATACTAGCAGCTGTGGCAGCATAACTGCTACATCATATAGAAAAAAATTACAGATCTTCAAAAAACTGTCCCTGGTTCCACAGGCTTTGACTACAGATTCTGAGGTAAATGCACAGAACACAGGATCAACATCTTTGACAAAGTAACCATGACAGTTGTTATAAAGAAAGCCAGAAAAAGTACCAAATTGTGGAAGTCTTATATCTCTTAATTAGCATATGTCTTTCAGCAGCTTAATTTTTAAAGTTATTATTTTAAATGAAATTATATTGGTGATTTTCTTCATTAACATACTTACATGTAATATAATTACATTATATATAATTTTATATATAGATATTACATATATTACATAAAATATAGATAATATACTATAGATATAATAGATATTACATCTATTCATATATATTACACATACACATTTTATTTTAATATTTATATATATATATGTGTGTAATATAATTGGAGTACATATACCCCATTATATATAATACCGATTTCTTTGATGCACACAACCTCCCCAAGATTCTTCTATTGGATTCTTCTAACCCAATTCTAAGCACAAAGGAAAGAACATAATAAATGTTCCAACAAAAACTAGATATTACATATATTATAAAAATATATATAATATACTGTAGATATAATAGATATTACATCTATTCATATATATTACACATACACATTTTATTTTAATATTTATATATATATATGTGTGTAATATAATTGGAGTACATATACCCCATTATATATAATACCGATTTCTTTGATGCACACAACCTCCCCAAGATTCTTCTATTGGATTCTTCTAACCCAATTCTAAGCACAAAGGAAAGAAGAACATAATAAATGTTCCAACAAAAAATAAGTTGACTTGGTTTTTTCACACTGTGTGTTTTTTTCATCAGATTTGCCCTCCAGTCTCCTGGAGCTTCACTTAGATGACAACAAGATCACAGGAATTGAAGTTGAGGATTTTAACCGTTACAAAGACCTACAAAGGTAAAATTCCCAGGCTGAATCCCTTTACTTGTTAAAATGTCATGCCCAACAAGGTTGCATATTTGATACTTCTCTTGTTAATGAGAGGAAAAAAAAATATAGGTGTTCTATTGAGAATTGCTCTGAGACCCAGCTTTAAAACCAAACCACACCCCTAAACCCCCACATTAGTCTTGCTATTACATGTTTTGCCAACAGTCTGCAACAGAAAAGTAGAATAAGAACAAAATATAACTATCCTAAGTTCTTCTAATTCTTAAAAAATTATTCTTGTAAATACAGCAGATGGTGAAAGAAACAGCTTTCAAATGCAATGAGGTTTAAAAAAAAAAATCTGTGTTTCTGAAGAATGTATCACTGAAATAGGAGAGAAGGAAGTTCTCTCTGTAAAAAGCTCAGTTAAGAACTCTGAAAATATGGCTGAGCAGGACAGGATTTGGTAACAGAAATTACTGAACTGCCTTTGGATACCAAATTCAGTTTCTGAAGCAGTCAGGAAAGAATAGAGAAAACGGGCTGGCAGGATGGGCAGAAAGAGCAATTCTGAATGACCTGAGGCTCCAGCTTCTGAATCCCCTTCTGAGCAAAGCAGGCTGAAGCCTTAGAGCAAAAAAATATAAGGAAAAGCTGGAAACAGGAAACAAGGTAGTCCTGCTTAGTAAAAAACCTTTATATTTTAAAAATAAGCTATACATGAAAAACACCTTTCTAGACAAGACTTGCTATTTATTAGGACTTATTACAGTGACTACACTTTGCAGCTGTACTACTTGGTAAAATGACATGATTAATCTCACAAGCAGCTTGATGTTTATAATTTAAACACTTGCCACTATAATTACAAAAACTGCACGCAAAGCAGAACAATTGCTTACATCAGATAACTGAAAACAGCTGTGAGGATAACTTTAGGTGGAGTTTAAATTATGTTAGGTCAATGGTGATTTTTTTCCTGTCAAATGTAAGATTTCATCATCTTCCCCCAGTTTGTCCCCCTGTGTATTTCAATCTTAGATTAAAAAAAAAAAAGCTGTTCAATGCTGTTGTGAATCTCAATAAGTCTTTAATTAAATGTTTCTTGTACTATTTTTAGGCTGGGCCTTGGCAATAATAAAATTAAAGAAGTGGAAAATGGAAGTTTTGCCAACATCCCAAGTATACGTGAAATCCACCTGGAAAAAAACAAGCTGAAGAAGGTTCCTCCTGGATTACCCGAACTGAAATACCTGCAGGTCATACACTGAACGTAGCAGGCAGCTCTGGGAGTTCTGAGTTGTTTGACTTTCCCACTGTCACACTGATTAGGTCACAACCAAAAAGCATAATTAACTGACACATATATTTTGCCATGACTCTCTTACTAGGAGAGCCTGAAATCATAAAAGCTTATTAAAGAAATAAAGAAAATCAAATTGCAGGAACACTTCCTAGGAAAGGAAAAAAAGGACAAGAAACTCCTACACTCAAAAAATGTTTCCAGAAATGAGACTATAATACCTCATCATCATAATTTTTACTAGAAGAGAATATAAAATTACATTTTAGAACCAAGTTCACTTAGAATAGAGTCCAATTATTCTAAAAACACACTGACAAAATGCCATACGACTTTTCTGTGTGGGAGAGACTGGGGCAGAAGGAAGACTTTTTTGTTAAAGATTTAATACAAGTGTTGTAACTCTCAAAGTCTGCATGGAACGGATGTTTTAGCAAACCTCAGTCACCTACATGCTAAGGAATATTTCCCCCATTTTCATTCAACTCCTGTATTTTTCTGCTCCTGTTGCTGCAGGTGGTCTTCCTTCATTCCAACCACATTGCCAAGTTGGGAGTGAACGATTTCTGTCCGACAGGACGAAGGAAGAAGAAAGCCCTGTACAGCGGCATCAGCCTCTTCAACAACCCTGTCAAGTACTGGGAGGTCCAGCCTTCAACCTTCCGCTGCATTTTAGCCAGGAACAGTGTTCAACTTGGCAACTTCCTCAAGTGAGACCCAACTTGGTTGTTTCAAAAAGCAACTTGTCCCAATCAGTTTTACAATACTTGAAATTTGCAGAAAAATGCTGATTTAACGCTATTTAACCGTTTACAAAGTATTTGCTATTTTGGAGGTAATTAATTAGAAACAATATGTTAAGTAGGATCCATTGTAGTATTTGACAATGTTCAACCTACATTTGAATAATTTAAACAAAAGTCTTTATAGCTTACAGAAGGACTCTTAGAAGTGGAACTGGAAACTGTATTTGATGTTTCCTATTATAGATGTTAAATGCCTTCCTTAAATCACATTGTTTGGACATATTCTTTCTTTCAAATAAATCCTAAAAATCATATGGAAGTGACTTTTTCCACAGTTAGGAAAAAGAGACCTAGGTTCTCTCCCAGAAAGTACTATAAGAAAAGTTGCAAAACCAAAAATTACCAGACTTCAAAGGCAATTCCTTGTGCCATTTTTGATAATGAGCAAAGATGCAATAAAAAGCTATGATATTTTCAGGTAGCTGTCTCTAAGCTAGAATATATTCTTACAATCTTTTAAGTGAGATAAAGACAAGTTTCATATCAAGAACAGACAAAAAGTCTTTAAAAGTTGTTTGTAATTTTTCCTTTCAACCTTAAGAAGAAAATGTCCTTCAATGTTTTGCTATTGATACAATTGGATGCAGTCTGAACATTAAAAGTAGGATTCAAGATTTATCATACGCTTCAAGCTTAATAGGAATGACTATTAAAGTCCCTTTAGGCCAGCACAAACATTTTTCTTTTATCTACAATAACTGTAATCATGTTTTTCACTTTATTCTTTTTCTCTTTATATTGTGACATCACACGGGTTAAGGATCCCTCCTTAATGGAAGTACCTTACAATTGCCAAAAACAAGCAGCTGGAACTCGCCTGCCCTGCCTTCCTGTGCAGGGCGGCACACAGAACTCTCAATACCGACAGTACTGTATAAAATGGATATTTTAGATATCTATTTAGTGTATATTTGCTATTGGGATTCAAAATAAATTAAATAAACGTACAGAATACCTACATGTGTATACTTTATTACATAGTTGCTCACATCAACACGTTCTGAGATTATAACCAAGCACCTTTGTGACTCTTCTCTAGACACTTCCTCTAGTGTTCCTTTTTCCTAATCTACAGAGCTTACAGGTCATTTATCACTGCTGGTTTGCACAAAGTTCAAAATCCAAGACTTTGGGAAATGGCACAGACTTGTAGAAGAAAGTACTACAAAGAACTCAATTAATTCCCAATATCTCATCCCTCCTACCACCCTCCTAAGTACATGATGCAATCAGCATCAAGTCTAATATCTGAATTCTTTTAATCTGCTTTGTATCCTGGTAGTTAATATTTTGTTAGTATCACTCTGCTGCTGAAACACAAAACTATGTGAAGAGAGAAGGCAGAGCAGACCAGGCGAGGCCTTTACTGATGAACAATATTTGCAAATAGAAATTCTATAACACACTTCAAAGCAGAATGAAAACAAAAAACTAAACAACACAAAACCTGAAATCTGCTGATGACCAAGCATCTTCCTATTCCTGGCTTCTGGAGATGTTTCTAAGGAGTGCATTTCCTAGCAAATACCAACATTCCCTTAAGGACAGACTCCTCTGCCTTAGAGTATCATTAACAACCCATAACCCAATGCAATGTTAACAACACAATAGATAACAGAAAAATCATTACATTTCTATGAATCACTGGTTTATATCCTGTTATACTAGTTACATCATTTCAGCAATGTCAACACCAGCAGAAAGGCTGATTCCAATTCTGTAGCTTAACTGAAAGAACAAACTCACAATGTTGTGTAGTACATTATTCTACACAATTCACTGGTAAGATTTACAAGGAAAGACAGAGAATGCAAATAATTCCTTATCTAATTTGGGTTAATGCAATGGACAACAGGAACTACATCATTGTGCTCTCTAAGCCTATGAATTCTATACAGGTACCTGTGTAAGAGTTTTACCAAATTTAAGTCTACTATTGAAGTCCTGCTATAATGGGAAAGCTTTGTAAAAATATAGTAAAGTCCTAAGAGGTATAAAACCATATAGTCTTGATCTTATTCTTTCAGAGCCTTAAAAACTCTCTTGCCTTCACACTCTTTCCTCTAGCTGTGCATCCAGACTGAGAAAATCTTTTTCCAGTCAGCACCCATGGATGCATAGAACATTCACAGAAGAAACTACCTCTACTCTCACTCTTAATAAATAATCTCCAAACAATCTTATCAAATGCTTAGTTTTGCACCATCCTTAAGGCAAATTCAGCCACCTTAGAAGTTTAAAAAAACTTCATCTGTGACTTAAACTACACTCACAAATTTTCATTACAGCAGGGAAGCATCAAATTGTTCATTTCCTGTAGATTTTATATTTAGAGAAAAGCAGTAATTTCCTAGATCACTTCAAATTGATAGGATGTCTGTCACTTAAGAGAAAAAAAAAACTAAGCTCAATGACCTGCCACTATTTTCAGATACAATTCTTCAGCTGGCATTTGTGGTAATAAAAATTAATAGTTCCCACACCTTACATCTTTGGCATGCTTTAACATAGACTCAGGTGGATGTGTCAGTGTCACACAAACATTATGATATAAAATGCATCTTATGCAGTTTCAGCAATTTTTTCTCAACATGGACCGTAATGTAATTAAGAGAACAGTAATTAACTGATGATAATGCACTGGTGTTCAGTGATCTTCCCACAGAACAAGGCATTTCAGTATTTACAGATAGGAAGAAAATCTGTCAAGAGGTCAACTCCACCTTTACATTCTCTAAAAATGTTACAGGGAAAGGAAAGAGGGAGTAAGAGAAACTTGATAAAAATCCTTTGAAGAGTGTTCTCATTACTTATTCCTTGTACAAGTACCTACATTTGTCTAATAAAAAAAATAATATTGATTCCATATAAGATTTTCAAACTTTAAAAGGCTTCTCTCTTCTGAAAATCTGCCAGGTCCCTACACAACAGTTAACAAATTTCACCAGAGGGTGGCAGCCTGTTTCTACAAATAGAAGGAAAAGTCATTCTAAAGAATAAATCACAAAGACTGCCAGAGCTTTACTGGAAGAGCTCAGTAAACGTCACAAACACTGATTAAGCAGAGGGGCCTGTTTGAGTACCACAGTACTACTGGAGTGCTGCTAAACCCTACTCTACACCATTAAATTACTAAGGGATGAAATAGTCTCATTTTTCCAAGTCTGCTCCCCACACCTTTTCCCAATATCAATCCACTTAATGCAGCACTTCAAACACAGCAATACAAAGAATGTTGCAGCATTAGTAGACAAAGAGAAGCAAAATTAATAAGATAGAAAAAGTTTAAAGAATAAAAGATACTACTAAATGATTATTTCAACTTCCACCATCAGCTGTGGCAAATATACACAATGTAAATCAAAACATACCTTTAATAAAACACATTTTCATTCGCATGATCTAGGTGCTTTCTCCTGCTGTTAGACTGAGTTAAAGAAGATGAAGAAGTGTTTATTTTATTTCATTTTTCCAGTATTAATAGTGTCTTCCTGCTCTGCCCAGGATGAAACCTGCAGGAATTCAGTGTATTAGACAAGCTGGCTAGAAGGAAAAGAGGACAGATGGACAGAGAAGGAGCACAGCTTTTGAATATCACTGCCTGATCTTAGGAACAAAGAGTTGCAAATTCCTAAAGCATAGTGAAGTTTGGGCTGGATGAGCAGGCAGTGAGGTGGACTGAAAATGGGTGGGAGGCACTGAGTGCAGAGAGGCCACGTGGTGAATTCCAGCTGGAGGTCAGGAAGTGCCAGGGCACCCCAGGGTCAGTGCTGGCTCCAGCTCTGCTCCCAGCTTCATTATCCATCTGGATGACAGGGCAGATCACCCTCACAAGGTCACTGGTGACTGACATGTGACTCTCTGGGGTTATGATGCTGAGAAATGGCCAGCAGGAGCTCATGCAGTTCATCTTAGGGAAGCCCAAAATCTTCTCCCTAGTGAGGGATAACCCCATGCACTGGTGGCTGATGGCTGACCTGGAAAGCAGCTTTGCAGGAAAGGATCTGCGGGTCCTGGTTCACAAACTGGACACGAGCCAGCAATGTGGAAGGATGGCTCACAGTATCCTGGGCTGCCTTAAAGGGATGAGGACAACTCTTCATTCCCAGTGCTGCTGTCACTGTTATTATTCCAAGAGCTAAGAAGCTCCAGAAGTCTGGATTCCTAAGGATGTGAGTCGTGCAAGGCTCAGGTCCCTGCAGCTGCTCTCCACCTCGCAGCACAGCACCTCTCTGCTGCCAAAGGCCCGAGGCAGCCGTGTGCCAAGGGGTCACTCACAGCTCTGTCCTCTCCTGCCTTCCATCTGCTCCTAGGCAGGATTTGGAACTGTCCCTTCCCAGCTGAAAGACCTCTCTGGAGCACTTTCCCCTGCCCAGCTGCTATCTTCCACAAGTTAATAACAAGCACATAACTATTTCTCTGTATCCTGTGTGAAAATTGGTTATAATTGGTAATAAGGATTAAAAGATACTAAATTAAATAAGTGACAAAGATAAAAGGTTATTTTCTTTTAAAAAATCAAGAAGGGAAAGTTTGGCTATTTTAAACATAATGGAAGTTCCATTGAGTGTCCCATTAGGAATTCCTGCACCTGCATTTCCCAAAAGTGAGTGAAATGACTCAGACCAGAGCAGTTGAAAAACAAACTAAGAAATGCAATTTTTAACCCTTCATATCTGTTTGCTAAAGCAGCAAAATATCTCAGCTCCCTAAACCAGGTTGTGCATAGAAAATCTGATATGACTTCACTGTTAAGCAATTTTAGAATAATTTAATGTAATCTCAAAAAGCATTTACCCATATCCTAAAAAGAAATTGCTGTTATCTCTTGAAGACATTCATTCCATATTCATTCAATTGCCAGTTAAAATATTATACTATTTATCCAGAAAACACTGGATACATTGG